TTCTTATGTGTATGCCTGCCTTGGAAAAAAGCCTTATGACTACATTCAAGTTCTCCAAGTGTTCCTTATTAGCTTTCCCTGTTATTAGATCATCACCAAGATAAATGGCAAACTGAGGTAGACCCTGCAAAATGTTCTCAATCATCTACCGAAAAATTGAACAGGCTGATGGTTCCCCAAATGGCAGTATATTAGTACAAGCAGTTATGGGTATTAATTGCAGCATACTTCTGGGAATCCTCATCTAAATGCAACTGCAAGTAAGCGTGACTTATGTCCAGCTTTGTGAAGGACAGCGCCTCTAACAGCTTTTCATATAAATCGTCCTTTTGAGGGATTCAGTATTTATCCAACTGTGAAAAGCAGTTTACCATTTGTTTAAAATCCCCACAAAGGCGAACCAACTCATTGGGCTTCACAATCGGTACAACCTGTGCTGCCATTCCATGAACTGGACTGGTTCAATGTTTCCTTTGCTTTCCCCAACCTTCTGATTTCTAGCCCTACTTTTGCCTGTAACGCAAATGGTGCTGAGTGGGTCTTGCAGAATCATGAAATTGCTTCCTGGTCAACATTCAAGGTGGCCTTGGCTCCTCTGATAGTCCCTCAACCTTCCTGGAAGACTTCCGGGTATTTAGGTAGGACTTCACTCAGGCAGCAATTTTCTAATTGAAGAATGTTGAGTCAATCTAGGTGAATCTCTCGCAACCAATTTCACCCCAGCAAACTTGGGCCAGGCCCTTTTACTCCAGTCACTGGTAACTGAACCAGCTGCTTCTCATAATAGACCGGGACTGAAGCTGCACCCTTAATCTGTAAAGGTTCCTTGGTATAGGTTCTCAGCTTAGCCAAGATCTTGCAGCACAAACTTAAGGGCTGGAGTCCAGAGTAAGTTTTGTTAAAAACTGGTTTTACGATCACTGATATGGCCACACTGGTATCGGCCTCCATTAAAACCAGATGACCATTTATCCAGACATTTATTTTGATTGTATAATGATTGGAACCAGCTGGATCTTGTTCACTATGAGATCCTAGATTGGGCCCAGGTTAACAACCCCATCAGGAAAGCCCTGGCTGACCAGTGTAACCAGATTTAGAATCTCCTCAGTTAAGGGACTGACTCTGAGCTGGCTAGTCACAGCCAGTGTACTGTGCACAAGTAATAAAGGGTGATGTAGTGACAGGATACCAGGCTTTTTGCAGTTATTTCAGATTGGTTCTGATTTGTATGTTGCTAAGAAACTTAATTGTTCCAAACCAGATATAGGTAGACTTTCCAGGGTATGAGCTTTTTTGGATATGGCCTATGAGTTATCTTACTCAAATCAGGCCCGGTAAGACTCTAGCTATCTCTAGCAACATACCAGCAACAACTACAATGGCTTTTTGGCCTGGATCCTGAAGAAAATTTTAACCATTTGGCTTAGGCTTGGCTTTATTTTGGGGTTTTGCGGTAGGCCATCCTAAGGTTCCGCTGATCAGGATATCTCCTGAGTGAGGTTAGGTAATTGCCTACACTTAAGTGGTGTTCCAAAAGCTCAGTCGGATTGGCAAGGGCGTCCACTTCCATCGGAATACCTCCAACTTGTATGCTCCAATCATTACATTTTCCAATGTTATAGCACCTGTTTGAAATTCAGTCAGGCTTCAGCTAATACAGGTTTTTGCATAGTTGTATCAATAATCCCATATACCAGATGGTCTCTAGGCATTTTATTCAAGGTTAAACCAAAGTCACAGGCTTCTGCCAGTCTTCTTAATCTAGTCAAAAATCCTAATTCAGATTCCCCTGGTTCTCAAATTGCTGAGTAAGAACGATAACATCTCAGAATTAGAGAAGGCTCAGGGTCATAATATTCCTTAACTATGTCTGTCAACTCTTGAAACGTTTTAGCATTTAGTGCCTCAGGGAAACTTAGGTTCCTAATAACAGAAAAAGCTGCAGCTCCACAGGCTGTCAGGAGAATTACTCGTGGCTTTTCGTCCGCCACAATGTTGTTTGCCCGGAAAATATAACACATTCTTTCCACCTACTGGGCCCAGTCCTTAATGGCAGGGTCAAATGAATCAAGCTTTCCAAACAAAGGCATGATGTAAGAAATGTTTCCCCCAACTCAAAGTCGACTGTTCCAAGAGTGTTTCTTCAGGATCATACTTAAATCTCGTCACCACTGAAGTAACTCCACAGAGGCCAGTATCCTGTCACCAAGTCAGCCTTAATTTACACATGAACAGTCCTTGGCTTTAGTACTGCTTCTTCATAATCAGCTCTCAGACTGTCAGTATCTCTGGCACTCCCTTTTCTGTCTAACAGCCAAGGCACCCTGTTTGGGCCACATTAACAGCCCCAATCAAGAAGCTCATATTCTGAGATCTAACTGGCTGACTTTGTTACAAATCACTACAAGAGCTACTTTAAAGCTGTAAAAAGGAAGAGAGAGGTTAAAGTAAACACAGGACCCTTAGAAAATAAATCTGGGAAGATGGTTAAGGGGAGCAAGGAAATGACAGAGGAGTTAAACAGATATTTTGCATCATCCCTTACAGTGAAGGATACTGCCACATCCCATTAATACTAAAGAACACGGGGAGAGGGAGAATTAAGTACCATCACCACCACAAAAGAAGTAGTAAACTAATGTGGGCTAAAGGCAGATAAGTCACCTGACCTTGATGGCTTGCACCCTAAGATCCTAAAAGAGAGGTAGCTACAGGCATAGTGTAATTTTTGAAAAATCCTTCAATTCTGGAGAAATACGACAGGATTGGAAAACTGCCAATGTGACATCCCTATTCAAAAATGGAGGAAGGCTAAAAGTATGTAACTGTCAGCCAATTAGCCTAACATCGATTGTTGGAAAGTATTGTATTCAAATATTAAGGAAGCAATAGCAGAATCTTTGAAAAATTATGATCTAATCAAGTTCAGAGGTCACACAATACCAGGTTACAGTCCAACAAGTTTATTTGAAATCACAAGCTTTCAGAGCACTTGCTCCTTCATCAGGTAAAGCGAAAGCTTGTGATTTCAAATAAACCTGTTGGACAATAATATGTTGCCATGTGACTTCTGACCTTGTCCACCTCATTCCAACACCAGCAACTCCATATCATGATTTAATCAAGCAGAGTTACATGGCTTCACGAAGGGAAATCAAGTCTGACTAAATTAGAGCAATTTTTCAGGAAGTCTCAACCAGGGACAATAAAGGAGAGCCAGTAGATGTCTTGTATTTGGATTTCCAGAAGGCATTTGACATGGTACCTCACATAAGTTTAAGTCATAAGTTAAAAGGACACAATGTTAGAAGTAATATATTGGCATAGGTAGAGAATTTGCTAAATGGGCAGAAACAGCAAATCAGGACGAGGTTTTTTTTTCATTTGGCAACCTGTCACCAGTGGGGTTCCACAGAGGTCATTGCCAGGACCACAACTGTATACTATCTATAGTAATGACTTCATGGAAGGATGTGAATATACTGTAGCCAAATTTGCAGACAACACAAAAAATAGGTGGAAAGGCAGGTTGTAAGAGAAATACAAATAAGTTGGCAAATGGATTATAATGTGGAAGACTGTCAAGTTCATTTTAGAAGGGAGAACAAAAGCACAGAGGTTGTTTAAATGAAGAAAAAAACAGCAGAGAGCTGTAACACAAAAGGAATTAGGGGTACTTGTGCATAAAACATGGAAAGCTAGCATACATGTGCAGCAGGTAATCAGGAAGGCTAATGGAATGTTGGCCCTTATTGCAAGGGGTAAAATTATAAGAGTGGTGAAGTCTTACTGCAACTGTACAAGCTTCTGGTAAAAGCACATATGGAGTACTGTGAGCAGTTTTGGTTCCCTTATTTAAGAAAAGAAATTATTTCAATGGAGGCAGTTCGCAGAAGATTCATTAGAATGATCCCGGTATGGATGATGTATTACGAGCAAAAAGACTAAACAGCTTGGGACTCTACTCACTGGAGTTTGGTAGAATGAGAGGTGATCTTATTGAGACATGAAGGATTCTTAGGGGGCTTCACAAGAAAAATGCTGAGATGATGTTTCCCTTTGTGGGAGTGTCTAAGACCACACAGCACTGTCTCAGAATAAAAGGGTGCCAAATTTAAGACTGAGAATGACGAAGGATTTCTTCTGTGAGAGGGTTGAATATCTCTGTAACTCACTGTCACGACAGCTATGGGCGGGGAGGTGGTGGGTAGAGTCCTTGTATATATTTATGGATGAGATAGATAGATTCTTGATCAGGAGAGGACTCAAGAATTATGAGGAAAAGGCAGCAATGTGGACATGAGGAAAGTGGATCAGTCAAGATCCTATTAAATGATGGAGCAGCCTTAAGAGGCTGAATGGCCTATTGTAATTCCTTTTCGTCTTATAAACTGTACTATAACCTAACACCTGGTATATTCTGGTTTCTAAATTTTTTAAAAAATGGAACTTAGTTATTAAAAGTGGGCAGTCTTTTCTCTTCCATATATGAAAAAAGATGAACATTCTGACAATATTCATCCTCTGCTTATTTCCTGAGGCCCTCACAAAATCACAGCATGATAGGGAAAGATGAATACAGAATGATATTCAAGAATGGAACACTTTGATTAAAAATAAATTCATTCATTCATTGCTCCTATTGCATATAAGCATTTGAATGCTCATTATTACAGGTGTTAGGGTTATTATCAAGAGCAACTACAATAATAATTTTAAATCTTTACCAGCTGGAGAATAACAAAACAAGGCACACGTTTGATCTTGTTATGTGCTAATAGATAGGAATTCAGGTTATTGATTCTGCAAGGAAGTGTGCTGCTTGCTGGCATACAAAATTGGCTATTTTTCCAGATTTGGGAAAGTGGCATGCTGCTCCTGCTGCTTTTCTCAGTACTATCCTGTAGCATCAGGAAATAATCTAAATAGGATCATCTGTGCATTTCTCAACCTACAAAAATATTTATTTAACTGGATCCTTGTTACATCCAACTAACCTTTTTAAGCGATGTTGGTTTTTTGGCCTTTGGAACTTCCCTCTGTTTTCCTCGCTTTACCAAAGGAGCACTTGAGTCCAAGGGATTATGTGGAACCTTTTCCTGACTTGAGCCTTGGGGCTGTCTTTTTGATGTTGTGGGTTCTTTGGGAACCAATGGAAATGTCCCTCCAACTACACACAAGACAAACAACAAAACAAAAATGTTTCAAAGAGAAATAAGGATGTGATACATAAAGCACTAAATATAGAAAAAAATACATATTTACCATAAGGCAAGACGAAGATACATGGAACAGAGTAATTTCAATATTTACCTGCAAATACAATTGGCTTAGGGGTGTGTTTAGACTTCTTCTCCTGCTGCTTTTGTTCTAGGACAGCCAGCATGTTACCAAAATTTAGCTGCATGGGTACCTTACTCTTTTTACCACCTTTCTTTGGAGCTTCCTAACAAAACAAGTTTGTTGTTATTTACACGATTAGTTATGTAATTACATTTGTTGTAATCAGAGCACTTGTAGTACTAATATAAATATTAATAATAAATTTATTAAAAGTTAACATCTATTAGACTATAGCATATGTGTTGCAACATTTGTGACTTTCTTGTGGTAAAACTTCCAGCTTTCAGTTTCTTTCAATGTCTAGGCCAAAACCATCTTGAATCAAGAATTATTTGACAAGCAGGTAATCATTCTTCAGTACTTTGGAATTCGAGGATGTCTATGAAAAGTGCAAGTGAATTTGAATTAAGTCAGATCTCCCCACTGGTTATCAGTGCACTTGTGCATCATATTAACCAAGAAATATTCACAAAATCACAAGGAGGAGTTGTGGAACCAAGGATTCAACAAACTCAGATCCAAATTATCCATGGTATGTGACATGGAATAAGTAGATCCTAAATGCCATATGGCTCAGTTAAATAAAGCGAAAGGTTATTTTAGTTTCCAAATGTTGCTTCTCAACATAAGAGGTCTCATTTAAATGAATGAGGGACAGCAGACACCAACCTAAGTTTTGATGGTTTTACTGGTACAGGGGGCCATTTATTTACAAACATCCAACTTACGAATGCAATCCCACACTGAGGTGCAATCTTAAAAATCCTGCAAATGAACACTTACTGTATTTATAACTAGCTATTTTACATAGTTGTGCATTGTGTTCCAACTTGCAAACAGACTCCAGAATAAAACCTGTTTGCAACCTGGGGACTGCCTGTACTTCAACTTCAACTTGCGCTTCAAAGGATTAACTAGTTTTTTAAAAAATCTTTACTGGCTTTTTTTAAGCTTTGATGCAGATTCAATGAAGTCCAAGAATAGGTTCAAGACGAGGTATTAACTTGCAGGAACATTAGCTTCAATCATGAGATCCCGATTTGATGCTGATCAAAATATATTCCCTAAACTGACAAAAAAATCTATAAATTATCCTCCCATTGATTTCCAAAACTTTCAATAAACTCATTTAATGTAGTATTTATTCTGTCTGGTGAGGGATAGGCCAGTTTTGACTCAAAACACTGTGATATTAACATCCCCAATATGAGAAACAGGGGATCAAACAAGATCAAACACATAAAAAGATGCTGTGCTCCCATTTTCTAATTTTAAAGAAGCAGAGCTTAATTTTTTTTATTATTCATTCAAGGGATGAGGGCATCGCTGGCCAGGCAGCATTTATTGCCCATCCCTAATTGCCCAGAGGGCAGTTAAGACTCAACCATATTGCTGTGGGTCTGGAGTCACATGTAGGCCAGATCACGTAGGGATGGCAGTTTCCTTCCCTTAAGGACATCAGTGAACCAAATGGGTTTTTCTGACAATCGACAATGGATTTCATGGTCATCATTAGACTCTTAATTCTGCCGTGGCAGGATTCGAACCCAGGTTCCCAGAACATTATTTGGGTCTCTGGATTAAAGTCCAGTGATAATGCCACTAGGCCATTACCTCCCCGACTAACATACTCTATCTGGGCTTCAATGTTGCCTGTGGAAATCACAGCTTAAATTTGATTTACAATAAAACCTGTGTTTTATTATAACAGCAAAAGTAAGGCAGCAGCTGTGCAATCCACAAGATTAAGTTCCTTTTTCAGCACTCCTTCGGGGATTAAAGCGGTAATGATGTTGCATCTCAGGCTCTCAAAGGAGCCTTCAGTCTCTCTCTATGGCACTGCTATCTTCTTGATTGCTGAACCTCCCTGACCTCAAATTTCAGGCATCTCCCCCACCAGGTGCCAGCTAAGTTCAGCCCAGACATGAAACATGCAAAAAAAAGTATCAATGGTGCCCTGCTGTCAAGTCTGGCAAGACTGTTATGACCCTGGCCTTTCCAAGTGTCTGCTTTGCTCATCCCACTAAATATTGTGGCTCACAATTCTAGATTATTGTAGTCTTTAAAATATTACTGGAGCTCACAATGATATGAAAATTAGTACTCATTAAGTAATAGCATAAAATCCTCAAATTGAGCCGAAAGGCGTTTCAAATGCAGGTTAATATCAAATAAATATGCTTTTGACTCCAAGATTAAGTTCTTTCTTGATCCAAACCAACTTAACTAACTGTTTTCCTGCAAAATGTTATTCAAATGAAAATCAGAGTTCTGAACAAACCAAAGCTTTCTTCTGTGGACTATCAGATGTGGGTACATGACTGGATTCTTTTCTCACCACTTGGACTGGTTTCTGGTTTTGGTCCAAAGACATCAGTTCACCACCAATAGCGAGGGAGCTGGCCACATTTAAAACCAATTCTCCATTTGTTGATGACTGAAAGATAAAGAAGAATGTGCAATATTTTATGAGCTTGGGTTAAATTGAGCACAAAGATGGTTGTACAGCCTCATCATGTAGCATAACGTAGCTGAAAACAAAAAAATGCCATGTAATAAATAATTGCACTATTCTTTCTTAATTGTCATCAATGCACACAGAGGGAAAAAAAACTATTGCTGCTTGATGTCATCTGTCCACTTGCAGCAAAGCAGGAAGTCTATCTACTGGTCTTCTCCCATGTTTGTAAATCAGATGGAGGCTGGAGGACACAGGGTACCCACCTGTCAGCTTCTGACTAACATCCTCACCACCAAACTGGCCGTTGAGTGGGGGTGCATTATATTACACTCCGAATTACATTAGTGTTTTAAACCTCAGCTGAGAGACTAAACTATAAGCATTCCATCCCATCACCACTCCTCGCACAAAGGCAGTAACAGTAAAAACTGAACTCGAATAGAGAGCAGAACATGTGTCATACTACACTGCCTGCTTCTGACAAATGCCTTGTGTGAAATTTTCTGTTCCCTTCAGCAGTGTGAGAAAGTTAAGAACATACGGTGAAAATGAAAAAAAAATTCTTATTTTCCCTTAAGCTCTAAAAAGGCATGGTCAGAAACTTATTATAAGCTGTGACCATCTTATTTCCATTTATTTGCATCTCATTATCAGTCCAACTCTCCTTTTTATGCAGCTCAAAATTCTGTCCATTCAGATAAAAATTAGAAATTGCCAATTCCCAACACGAAAGTCAAGTGGTTGCTTGGCAGCAGTAATTCATCATTTGCTTCTCCAGACCTTCATCCAAGTGTGTTTTCACCACAAAGTCTCCGTTCACTCCATGTTCTCTTTCACCCTTCATTTATGCAAGTTGACACTACCAAAGCAATAGCTTCACGTTATCATGGTTGCTTTGGAACCGATCACTATGGCCTTTCAGGACTTCACTCTGGAGCTCCAGGACACATGACTTTGCATGCTTCTGCCAGGTCACTTCATGCATTAGGACATACACGCATCTCATCCATGCATACAAGATAGCTACACAGGAGATTGCCACATATTTAAAAATTCACTTGTGGGATGTTGATGTCGCTGGCTGTCCCCAGTTGCCCTTGGGAAGCTGGTGGTGAGCCTTCTTGAATCCACCTGCAGTCCACCCGCTGTGGGTAACCTTCAATGCCATTAGACTGGGAATCCCAGACTTTTTTTGTGACAGTGACAGTGAAGGAATGGCAATATACTTCCAAGTCAAGATGGTGAATGGCTTGAAGGGGAACATGAAGGTGGTGGTGTTCTCATGTATCTGCTGCCTTTGTCCTTCTAGATGGGAGTTGTCATGGGTTTGGAAGGTGCTGTCAGAGGATCTTTGGTGAACTTCTGTCGTGCATCTTGTAAATAGTACCATGTCCTACAGTCCAAGTAGCGGGCAAATTGCACCTAGCAGGTGCTCTTCCATCAAAATGGACATCATGGCTGCATTACATTTTGCTGCTGAATCAACACATAACATATGCTACATTAATGCCAGTCAGCAACCCAGTTATGCATTAAAGAAGTGTCAGAAGCCTTATTTGCAATGGATAGTGCATTGCCTTTCATGTAGAAACTGACAGTACCTCACCAACTACTGCACCTTTCCTTGACGGCAGGATTCTCAAGAGGTTAAAGTAGCATTGTACCCACATACAGTGTAGATAGTTAGTCTGAAAGACAATGTACACTGTTGCCCTGAAGTGCAACACAAGTCAAACCTCTTCATGTCCACTTATAGAGTCATAGAGTCACCACAGTGTGGAAACAGGCCATTCAGCCCAAAAAGTTCACACCGACCCTCTGAACAGCATCCCACTTAGACCCATTCCCCTACCCTTTCCCTGTAAACCTATATCTCCTATGGCTAATCCACCTAACTTACACACCCTGGACACTATGGGCAATTTAGCATGGTCACTTCATACAACTGCAAGTCCATTTTGCCAGCCAAAGTTGTTGTGCTGCTGCACTACCTGCCCACAAATACCATTTTCTTGGCACCCCTTATTCTTTCCTTCCTATCACCTTTTCATGGACTAAACTTGGTAAATATTACAATGCATTTTGAATCTTCATAAAGTACACATTCTATTAGCCACATTATTATTTAAGAAGCTCATCACTTTAAATTTATGCTGTTAACATACACCCTAGGCCAAAGTGGTGTTGGCAGTTACTTTTCTTTTCTATTTCTTTTCCCTAGACATTTTTTTCATTTTTTCTTGATATTGATGGTGTAGTGACAGCAAAGAAGGTTACCTCAGAGTACAACGGGACCTTGACCAGGTGGGCCAATGCGACAAGGAGTGGCAGATGGAGTTTAATTTGGATAAATGTCAGGTGCTGCACTTTAGAAAGATGAATCAGGACACTTAATGGTAAGATCCTGGGGAATGTTGCTGAACAAAGAGACCTTGGAGTGCAGGTTCATAGTTCCCTGAAAGTGGAGACCCAGGTAGACAGAAAAGTGAAAGCGGCGTTTGGTATGCTTGCCTTTATTGGTCAGTGCATTGAAAATAGGAGTTGGGAGGTCATGTTGTGGTTGTACAGGATGGTGATTAGGCCACTTTTGGAATACTGCATTCAGTTCTGGTCTCCCTGCTATAAGAAGGATGTTGTGAAACTCGAAAGGGTTCAGAAAAGATTTACAAGGATGTTGCCAGGGTTGGAGGGAGAGCTGAACAGGCTGCGCTATTTTCCCTGGAGCATCGATGGCTGAGGGGTGACCTTATAGAGGTCTGTAATATCATGAGGAGCATAGATAGCGTGAATAACGAAGGTCTTTTCCCTGGGTTGGGTAGAGTCCAAAACTAGAGGGCACAAGTTTAAGGTGAGAGGGGAAAGATTTAAAAGAGATCTAAGAGGCAACTTTTTCACACAGAGGGTGGTGCATGCATAGAATGAGCTGGCGGGGGAGGTAGTGGAGGCAGGTACAATTACAACATTTCAAAGGCATCTGGATGGATACATGAATAGAAGGGTTTAGAGGGATATATGGGCCAAAATACTGGCAAATGAGACTAGATTAATTTTGGATATCTGGTCAGCATGGACAAGTTGGGCTGAAAGGTCTGTTTCCATGCTGTACAGCTCTATGACTCTATTTCTATTTTTGTATCTGGTCTGTTTCTAATTCAGCTTATTTTCTCTATCATTGTTCTGTTTACTTCTCAGTCTTTAAAATCTCATTGTTTAATGAAGCAAATAATTAATCCCATTGTTCATCTAGATGCAAAGGCATTATAAGTTCACACTTCCAAGACATTAAAGTTGATGGGCAAGGGTATAAGACTTATTAATGCGGTAACCCCCTATACTGCTACAGCAAAGGCTCTTTAATATTGACAGCTTTGCTACAAATAGTATAACTTGTCAGTTGATGTTGCTTTGAAATCACTACAACTCTGTAATGTTCAATGTCACCCAGGTAAAACAGGCACTTACACCTAGTAATACATGCAGTTTTAAATGATATTCAATTGAAATAATTAAATTAAATATAATCACATATGGAAAAGTTTTGTCTCTGCTGTTGCCAGATCACAAGTTACATTCCTTTCAAATCAAATGGAAGAATACTGAACTGGATTTTGCACCCCATAATTTTACAGCAAATTTGGCCTCTAATGTCTATCCATACCAGCTCTCTTTGAAACAGCCAATCGCTTGATCTTCACTGGCCCTAACAATTCTCTGAATTTGACTTTTTCCAACAATTTTAATTGTGAACACAGTCACTACTATTCAATGACTATGCATGTTTAACTTGTGATGTTATTTACTAGGGCGTTTCATGAAATGCAGCAAAAGTCACAATAATGAGATGATAAAATTGCTAGTTTTTATATTGAATTGGGAAACCAAAATGTAAATATTAATAGAGCTCAAAGAAAATTTACTTGAAAAACCAGCAATATGCCTCAAAGTTATAGTTACTTATACTTGCTTTATATTAAATTGCTAACGACATAATTGGGCAACTAACACATGAATTGAGAACCTAGTGGTTTACATTGAAACATAGAAAATAGGAGCAGGAGTAGAATATTCAGGCTTTTGAGCCTGCTGTGCCATACGATCAAGGCTGATTATCCTACTCAGTACTCCACTCCTGCTGTCATCTCATACCCTTCGATCCCTTTAGCCACAAGAACTACATCTAACTCCTTCTTGAAAACATTCAATGTTTTGGCAGAAAACCTCTCAGGTTCACCCCTCTCTGGGTGAAGAAAATTCTCATCCTCTGTCCTAAATGGCACACCCCATATCCTTAAGACTGTGACCCCTGGTTCTGGAAACCCAACCATCAGGAACATCCTTTCTGTATTTGCCCTGTTTAATCCTGTTAGAATTTTACAGGCTTCTATGAGATCCTCATTCTTCTAAACTCCAGCAAATACAGTCCTAACTGATTCAGTCTCTCCTCATAATTCAGTCCTGCCAATCCAGAAATCAGCCTAATAAACCTGCACAAAAATCAAGTGGCACTCATTTTCCAAGTTCATTAATAAACTGAAATCTATCTTAATAGGTATCTCAGTCCACAAATTTTAATTCAGTTCTTAAAAGACTTTCTTGTTTCTAATTGTTCTTTGCTAACCTGTTTGTAGGAAATGAACTTGTCTTGTCCAGCACTGTTGGCTTTGTCAGGATTGCTTACTGCAGATGTCAAATCTGGAAATTCTTCATCATCCTACAAAGGAATTAATTAGGCTTACATTAAATTTTTGTATAAATGTTCTGTGATAAATTACACAATTATCCAATTAAAATTTGCAAAACACAAAGTCAATTAATTTCATAGTTGTGTAACAAAATGAAAAATTATCCCGAGAACCAGGCTTTGATCATAAACAAAACAATGATAAAGAACATGCTAATCAACACAGTTGTCTTTGTGCTACATTAAAATTTAAATTCTGAGAACACTGTAAATTCTTGAAGAACTGAAAAGGCTGATACTATACTCTTCCCTAGCTAGGCCAGCATCGAGAAAGCAAAGGGAAATGACCACCCACTTTGAAAACTGTGGAAAATATTGCTGTTTCCATTTCCTGTAAAAGTGCAGAACAATGCCTCCTGTTAACCAAAGATGGTTGTGCCTTGCAAGCTTAAATCCGCCAGAAAAAGTTATTGCTGACACGCTAAAATAAGGAGAACCACTTTAGGTCTGTAGCAAACCACAATAAATACTTGTTTTTGTGTTTCTTTGACATGTGAGAATGTTAAACCACCCAGCATTTATCTGGGTGATGCCCTAATGAATAAATGATTGATAAAAGAAATTAAAAGTAATAATCTTACTGCTATGTGTGTTGTCTGCCAAAAGGCAATACTGCCCTTCAGCAAGGCAATAAGCGACTTAAAGGATCTTTTTTAATACTTTTTTAAAACACTAAGGGAAAATAGTGCTATAAAAAAAATTCATGAGAGCATAACATTCATTGTGCAAGACAGACAGAAACGTTCTCCTTTGAAAAATATTAATTTCTTCACTGGAGCAACTTATAAATCAAAACATAAACTGTCCTGGCTACTCACCTAAAGCGATGATTGCTGAAGCAACAATACTTGCTTCTAACTTTGAAGAAACCTGTATGAAGATCTAGTCATCTCAGTGATGTGGATTTTCCCTTCCATCTTATCAGTTCGAAATTGATGCCAAGACAAGGCGATGTCCAATGATATTACACTGAAGGGTAATCATTTTCTGGCCTTTGATTCAAGGATGTTGTCTACTTAGCATCATAAGATTTTGTCAAGACTCTTCACGTGTCTGAGCAGGCCAATAATCAGTCGGCAGGTTTTTGAGCACGTGGACCAGATGTCCTGCAAAGTAGTGGGATCTCGAGTACAGGACTTCATTCACCAATCCGAGAGGGCCTGGGGAGGAGGCAGGAAAATACCGGCGCCAAGTCATTCGGGGTGGCATGGTGGCTCAGTGGTTAGCACTGCTGCCTCACAGTGCCAGCGACGCAGGTTCGATTCCAGCCTTGGGCGCCTGTCTGTGTGGAGTTTGCACATTCTCCCCGTGTCTGCGTGGGTTTCCTCTGGGTGTTCCGGTTTCCTCCCACAGTTCAAAGATGTGCAGGTTAGGTGGATTGACCATGCTAAATTGCCCATAGTGCCCAGGGATGTTTAGGTTAGGTGGGTTAGACATGGGAAATTAGGGGAATGGGTCTGGGTGGGATGCTCTTTGGACGGGCGGTACGGACTTGCTGGGCCGGACAGCCTGTTTCGACACTGTAGGGATTCTATGTTTGCTCTATGACTTGCTTCCTTTTCTTTTCTACCACCACCACTCTGCCTCAGCAAAAGCCATTGAGACTCAAACTGTGATGCAACTTGATAGACCACTGGGTGACATTCTGAATGTTTGGTAGCAAGTCCACTAATATCAATGTTTCATGACGAGGTGCAGAGTATCTTTGATGTATTTTCTTTGTCCTGCCCTAAAATATTGGCCTTTTGAGAATTGAGAATACAGGATGGATGGTGGAATCTTTCTTTCCACCATCTAAACACTGACCATTCCATCAAATCAACAGAGTCTGCTGATAACAGGGTAATCCCAATATCATGTTGTAGCATCAATGGTGGTTGTGCAGCAACAATAAAATAGATTGAAAATACGCTCCTGTGAAATTCAAAGTTGAAGGACATTTGCCAATGGAGTAAGCATTGAAGAATTCTCAGGAAACAAAACTGGAAGTAAAACACGCTGCTGTCTTCCCTCCTCCATCCCAATTTAAGTCCATGGCTGGCACCTTTCCTAACCTGCTATTAACCAGATGGGGGCGGAGGGGGGACACAACAGTAAATCCACACAAGGTTACTCGCAGGCTCCCATAAGGGGCTTCAAATACAACCCTCCCCCCATCTAAATCTACTATAAAGGATGGCACAAGAACCTGCTTGTGGTGTGAGATTACATAAAACTCAAAAAGAAAATTAAACCATGGCTTTCTAACAAAAATATCATAATGGAGAAATTCAACAGTCCACCAATATGAAATTCATTTTCCAAGACAAGGATGGTCTTCAGCAGTATTTCTGACTTGGAATGCCATTAAAAACCCACAAGGAGTATTTTTCCAGGAGGTTTTTCAATCTAATATTATGTCATAAAAGGGAAAGTTGTCATTTCAGAGATTTGCAATGACGGCTGTCTGCAAATCTTCAATTACAAACTTAAATTGAAAAGTAAGGAATCACTAACAGCAACTTCAGGATTTCTACATTTAACAATGCATAACCAGGAGCTGTCAGTTTCACAGATATAATTATAGCAAATGCCAGTTTCAACATTATTACAACTGCAAATTTTGGTCCATTTAAGCAAGTCATGTTGAACAGTATTTGACCCGTACTTTTGATTTTATACTAAGCTAAAGTACCAGAATCTAGTTACCTCTACTGTCATAATACTGGACAAGCCAGATCCAACCTGACTTGATGGATCATAAATTTTAATTTTTTTGCAGTTCGTCACCACTGTAGATAGTGACCAAAACTACTTCACATAAGGTTGCAAATGTTCTCGAACAAAAGGACATTATAAGGTAAAGTCATCATAGCCTTACCAGAACAGAAGACTGGTCTATCATTAGAGAGAAACAACTGATGGTGGTTTAACCCGAGGGTACCACGCCTCAGGCATGGGGACAGGCTGAGGAGGACAATCTTTTGTGGTAACATCATCAAGTGTAGGAATTGAACCATATTTTGGTATCACACTGCATTGTAAACTTTCTGTCCAGCCAACTGTGCTAACTAATGCCTAAAAGAACATTAGTTTATTACAGACAAGAAAAAGGTATATATCATATATTCCAAACTGTTCTGTTTCTTAACACAAAGAGTAAAACAAGATTTCAACCTGTTTCCCGAAACTATCCTTTTAAGATACTCACTCCTTGAGAAACATCATTCCTATCTCAACTCTTTGATTTGGACGAAAACGTAGCTGGTCTAATTAGTAAGCAGACGACACAAAGATTGGTGGAGTTGCGGATAGCGAGGAGGATTGTCAGAGGATACACCAGGATATAGATCAGCTGGCGGCAGGGGCCGAAAAATGGCAGATAGAATTTAATTGGTACAGATGTGAGGTGATGCATTTGCAAGGTCAAGTACAGGTGGAAATTACATAGTGAATGGCAGAACCCTTTGCAGTACTGATATGCAGAGGAATCTGGGTATGCAGGTCCACAGATCACTTTGGCAGCAGCACAGACAGATAAGGTAGTACAAAAGGCCTATGGCATGCTTGCCTTCATTGGAAGGAGCAGTGAGTGTAAGCAAGGCAAGTTATGCTGCAGCTTTATGGAACTTTGGTTAGGCCACACTTAGAATATTGCATACAGTTCTGGTTACCACACTACCAGAAGGATGTGGATGCTTTGGAGAGGGCAAAGAAAAGGATGATGCCTGGGATGGGGGATTCTAGCTATGAAGAGAGGTTGGATAGACTGGATTTGTTTTCACTGGAATGCAGAAGGTTGAGGGGGGCCGATCTGATAGAAGGTTATAAGATTGTGAATGGCACGGACAGAGTGGAGAGTATGAGACTTTTTCCCAGAGCGGAGGGGTCAATTACCAGGGGACACAGGTTCAAGGTGCAGAGGGCAGGGTTAAAAGAGATGTAAGAGGCAAGTTTGTCACACAAAGGGTGGTGAGTACCTGGAACACGCTGCCAGAGGAGGTGGTGGAAGCAGATACAATAGCAGCATTCAAGAAACACCTGACTGAATACACAAATAGGAAGGGAATACAGGGATACGGATCCTGCAAGTGAAGACAGTTGGAAGGGCAAAATGTGTTGGCATAGGCTTGGAGGGCCAAAGGGCCTGTTCCTGTGCTGTACTGTTCTTTAATTTCTCACTTGACTGCCTCTTCCCGATTTCCTTTCTTTGTACTGTTGAGACAGGTTTACAATTCCTTTCTGAGTATACTGGCATGTTTTTTTTTTAATTCTGGTGGTTTAAAGCTATTTTGTGTTTGGATACGTGGAACACTTCTTTATACTTTCCCAATCTGGATGCTTCACAGATTAAGATCACTTCTATTAGAGTGAATGGTTGCCCCTCAAGTGTCAACCTGATGCGCCTGCTGCAAGGAAACTTTCTCTCTTTGAACTGAACTTCTAATTCTTCTGAAGTCAAAACTAATAGTTTCCGATCAGTTGTGGATATTTTTGATCAATCTGTTCAGATGTGTTATGGCACACCTCTGGAGAAAGCAGAACTTGACCCCAGGTCTACCAGCCCAGAAAGGGGCCACAAGAGCCCTCTGATCAGTTGTAAACTCAGCAGTATTAACATTCCACCCATTAACATCACAAGTGTCCTGCCAGGCACTTCACTTCAGGACATGCCTTCTTGGGAGTGATGTATTTCAGTCACTGAAATTGCGAGCTGATTATTTTGAAAGCAAGAACAATTGTTAACTGTTCAAAGGTATGAATCTAGAGCTGCAGTGCTACTTTCAGAATTTGGCTTACAATTTACTGAGACTACTGTATGCCATTCTTTATATGTAGAAACTAGAAACCTACTGTCAAATGAGTTTCTTGAAGGTATTTTGACTTTTAAGCGAGATGAAGCAAAACAGATATGACCTTGTATAGTACTGCTGTGCGAAACCCTTTTGGACAACATGAAAGGTCTTGTTGTAAAGACAACTGCCTTCTGAAACATTTTCATAATCATTGGTCATTCAACATTTCCAGACTTTTAGAATCTGTGTTTTATAATAATGTCATTTCTGACAGTTAAGTATACAAACAATTTTCTGTTTCAGCCATTTGTATTGCTTTTAGGTGGTTGATGCCAACCTTCCATTGTAAGATCACCTAGCTATTCACACAGATTCCAGCCTTCTTTTTATTACAAAGTATAGTATACTTTACACATTGTTAATATGCCATTTTTGAAAATCTGCCATTTGAGACTTGTTTAAAGCAGCAATGAATGTTGAAGTTATTGGAGTCGATCAATTCTTTGCAACACAACATATTTTAAGAATAAGTAATGTAGATTTTGCACTGACCAGAATTCAGATACAAGTCTGCTTTATGATCAGTACCACAAATCCATCCATCCGAACTGGCATTTTAACATGTGGTTTCCTATTGTGTGCACGTCTTCTTCTGATAAGAAACAGACCCAAACCAATCTGAACAATTTTGTGCTATATTTATTACAGCTTTATTTTCAGTGGGCTTACAATTTTCATTTTTTTTCTGAAGGCTCAATCATTTTATGAGAAAACGTTTCCTCTAAAAATCTCATTGTCCTTTCTAAATTTGCTTCAGGCTAAGTTTTTGACAGGTGCCACAATTTGAGAATTCTCTAAAAGCAATCAGTTTCTATAAATCTCCATGCAGTGAGCTCCAGATATCAATTTTGCTGCTGGGAGAGGTCAAGCTTTTCTGCCAGGAAGAAAAAGAAAACAATTTGCAGGCCAAGTAACTAAAATTTCTTTTCACTGTATTGACATTTAGATGACCCCATTCTAAATTCATGTCTTACTTATTGCTGAAAAGCAAGGAATATGTCCGTGTGCAAACACACTCCTAAAAGCATGAGAATAGAAAGTCTGCCAAGAAACATTAAAGTCTCAAACATCAACGTGGCAGTTGTTTACGAATGAAGATGGAATCGCATGGGGGAAGAAAAGGAAATAAAATCTCCTGTCTGATTCTCTCCTTTCAGTTTGACTAAGTAATACATCTTGATGGAGGGGCCAGTGAGTATTTGATATAGATGTACAGATAGCAAGCGTCACCTGCAGATATTATGACACATTTCGGGAATTACTACAGGGTGCAGCCAGGAAGGCCATACCCTAACAGAATTGGGACAAATAAAAACCTGCTTGTCTCACTAGAGTTCACCAAGTTGGTTAGGAGTGTCACACCATGTTGCAAGATACGGTTTAATGACATAACCAGGTCTGAATAAAATTAGATATCCCTTTAAGAGTCCCAAAACATACCAGCAGCCAGATCTGAGAAGCCTCTCTCTACCTTTGGTGACACCACGCAGAATGTACCACATGGAAGTAGTAGGAAGCACAAGTTGAAAAAAAATTGTGGTTCTTGGGTATACTATTACCAGTATGCACATGAATATTGAGTCAAATATTAATAGCACTTCTGTAAAAACACTCAAAAAAAATCAATGAACATCACTTATACATCTTGTCCATTATTATATCTGGAGTGTCAACTCACCCTTTTCTTTGTTTTATGACAAATTCAAATACATCATGGACTCAGTGAGTAGATGTGCTATGCATGAATACATAGCTGAAGGGCAATTTAGTGGATAGTGGAAGGAGAGGTATTTGGTTGGGGAATTGTTTAGTCCTAGTGCTGGGAGTAAAAAGTGAGGATAAGAATTTATTTTCTCCTGTATGAGTTGCAAGTATTTGATGCATTGAGCTATTAAGGCATCTCAGAGAGTGACGTACACAAACTGGTTTGGTAATAGCTGCCTCACCTTTATATTCCAAAAGAACAGCAAATGCCGTAAATCAGGAACAAAGACAAAGTTGCTAGAAAAGCTCAGCAGGTCTGGCAGCGTCTGTGAAGGAGAAAACAGAGTTAATGTTGCAGGTCTGGTGATATTCCTTCTGTTCTCTGTTCTCCGCTCTTCCTCCAAGTGTTTTCCGATGATCTCCTTCATCGTCCTCTGCATGTAATCCTCTCTGATGTGCAGCATGCAGATTACCAATTCTATTCAGGACACTCAATGAGAATACTGAAGAACAGTTTCATATTTATCCAAGCACATGAAGTACATCTTCAAAATTCCAGTGGCACACTTTTTAATCATCTGTAATTTGTTATAGTATCCTGTGCCTAACAGGTGAGGTTTTACACAGCTGCCATGAGCAAAATTTTTAAGTGAATACTTATCATCCCCTATGAGCCAACTTTTAAGGGGCTTCCAAGAATGAAAATTCCCAAAATATTGGACTGCTTCAGTGTGAATGCATACTCCTATAGAGATTGAAGTAGATAATATGCCATTTTCTTCATCAAGAGCTGAGTGGCCATGGCGCAACCCACACTGGGCATCATTGACGGTTATGGTTGAACTTGTGCTGCTTGATAGCACTGTTGGTGATACCTTCCATCACTTTACTGATGATTGAGAGTTGACTGATGGTGTGATAACTAGCTGAATTGGACTGGTCCTGCTTTGTGTATACAGAACATACCTGGGCAACTTTCCTCATTGTCAGGTAGATGCCAGTGTTTTAGCTGTATTGGAGCAGGTTGGTTTGGGGTACAGAAACTTCTCAAAGTGATTTGTTCGGAGCTAGTTCAGGACGTGCCATGCCAAGAGGTCAGCAGCTTCTCCTCCTGTCAGTGGTGTCAACGCTTCCGTGCCTTGAGTGCATGCTTGTACTTTTCTCTTTGACCACCTTTTGGGCATCGGCCAATGAAGAGCTGGGAGAAGAGAACCTGCCGAATGAGGCGGTTTATGAGCATCTGGCTGCTTTGGCCTGTACATCTGATTTGGATCTTCTGCAGCAGGGCTTTGATGCTGGTCAATACAGCATCTTGTAAGATGCTCAGTGTCGGTCTGGCAGCTTTCCAACCTGAACCGTCCCCTAGATTCAATATGGGCACTGTTGTCTGAAGCTCTCAAAGATTTTAATGAGACGTCAGTAAATGGTCCAGGTTTTGCTGCAGTTGAGGAAGTTGGTCAACATAATAGTCTTACAGCTCAGGAATTTTGTTGGTTTCCAATGAGATCCCCATTGTCAAAGGCACATTCTCACATCTCGGAAGAAAGCCACGCTGGCACAATTGACTTGATGCCAAATATCTATATTGATGGTGGTCCCTTGGGAGAGGTGACTAGTGCTGTGCATTCTCCAGAGTCACCCCATTTATGTAAATGACACAGAGGATACTCATGTGCCCTAGGGAAGGTTGCTATAGAACCTTCATCTTGGCAATGTTTAAGGGCATGCCAAGCACCGATAATGAGATGCTGAAAAGCACAAACATCCTGTACAGAGTAAGCCATCACACATGAAGGTCATGGATATCCATGGTGGTGAGTTTTGCTTTTGCCCAGAAGTAGCCAAAGTTGAAGAGCTTCCTGCAATGAGATGATATTGGATGCTGTTATCGCTCAATTCAAATGACCTAGCTAGCAATGCCAAGAGTTTGTGAAAGGATACTCTTGTTTAAAAAGTCCTTTTTTGCATACAATTACCAGCCTATGTGGTGGCTTCATTGTGTGTGCTAGTGATTACTCAACAAGCAGGTTACTTGCTTTTAAGTATGTCTCAGGAAAGCATGGAATGTAAAATGCTGAAGACATCTTGTAGTCATGATTACTTTTCCTATGAATTTAATTATGGATCAGACTCTGATTTACCGAATCTTATCTATTATTATTCTTCACTATGACAAAGTGGGTACACATGTTCCTCGGCTATATTAGGTGTATCTCTGTTTTAAGTGCAGTGCTCTGTTCCCACCATGGCACCTCAAAATGAAAGCTAATATTTATCATTGGTACTTGACTTTTCTCTAGCCTTGAAAGAATCTTTAAATTCTCCCTCCATGACAATTTACAAAAAAAAAAATCACACAGGATTGATGGATAGAAAAACAAGGAGGAGAGGAACTACAGGGAAGAAAAAAAAACACACATTCTCGAACAGTTCCTTTCTTGAACAACTGATTTGCAAATGCAAGTTATTTCACAAAAAGTCTGCAAAAATAAGGTAACAAAAAAAAGTGAGATAAGTAATGAAGGATGCCTCCTTACATAGAGATACACTTAGTTTTGTCATTGCTAAAACAAACTCAGTTCTACTGTCCTAGATCTCTCAGGCAAATACAACTGACTGAAATGACACGTTTAATAAATGTTTTCACCTGGCTGCCCTTCAGTGGAGAAGAATCAATATCTTTCCCAATACTGGAAATGGTTTACAACTTCCAACTGGCTCTGAGTACTGCCTTTTATAATATGCTTTAATGGTTAATGAACTCTGAATAGATGGATTACTTATCTTAATTCCAGCGCTTCATAGGGATGTAATTACCTACTTTGCTAATAGTCCAGTTTATCAGCAACAAAGGACATATAAAACATATGAACAAAAACAGAAGTTGCTGGAAAAGCTCAGCAGGTAAAGGAAAAAATCAGAGTTAACATTTCAGGTCTGGGGACCCTTCTTCAGAACTATTAACCGTTAACAAATCATGCTTAAGGAAACACTGCAACTACATCATCCTTTACAGAGTATGAGAATGGTAAGGAACGTTTTTTATAATTAAGTGTTTCAATTGATAGATTAGCAACAAGTGAAACCAGCTGTAAAAATAATCAATTGCAGAGTTGATGGAAAAATTACATCAAAAATAAAGTTATTGATGGGGGACAGAGGCAAAAGTTCATAGATTTGAAGGTCTGCAGCCTGCATACAAAGCTTGAAACTGAGTATTGGTGAACTTCGATAAAATTGCCAGGTTGGTTTCAAGGACAGCGATTGGATCCATGTCCAATCATCATGTGTTTCATAAATCTGTGACAACTAACATTCAATCCTGAAAGCCATACTGATATGGGGAGTAAATTATAAATTCAGAATACATATTTATCCCTCCTCAACCACAGCATTTAATAAAATTAAAATAAAACAAAATCAAATACCTCAAATCGAGGTAGCTCTTGCACAGTTATCTGGGACTCATTAGGTTTTGGAGCAGTATTGGGTTCCTTTGGTTTTTGTTTCTTTTTCTTCTTTTTCAGTTTCCCAACTGTCTCTTTCAGTTTTGTTTCACCATCATTGCTCTGAGAATAATCAGTTATTTCACATTTTAGATACATCATGATTTAAAAATAGAGAATAATTTCAAGGCTAAAGGTATAAGATGACCTGCATATTTGGTATAACCCTGACCTGAGAAACATTATGTGCAGATATCTTTGGTGGAGCTGAACAGAGAACAGGTTTCTTAGGTGCCTGTGAAACAATTCTGGCCCACGACATGACAGATGGAGGGGCAGTAGATAAAGATGACGTAGGTGGTGCTACTGTACTTGCTGGTGCAACAACAAAATGAATAACTTAATTATAGCATCAACATAGAAAAAAATGCACACACATTGGCTCACATTCAAAGCTGATATTATACGACATCTCCTAGGACATATTTTTCATATTTCATTAAGATATATACCTAATAATATACACCACTAATATACACCACTTCGATGAAGGGCAGCGTGGTGGCTCAAATGGTTATCACTGCTGCCTCACAGTGCTAGGGACCCAGGTTCGATTCCACCCTTAGGCAACAGTCTGTGTCTGTGTGAGTTTCCTCCGAGCGTTCCGGTTACTTCCCACAGTCCAAAGATGTGCAGGTTAGGTGGATTTGCCATGCTAAGTTCCCCATGATGCCAAGGAAGGTGCAGGCTAAATGGGTTAGCCATGGGAAATGCAGGGTTACAGGGATAGGGTAGATAGGTGAATCTGGGCGGATGCTCTTCGGAGAGTAGGTTTTGACTTGATGGGCCAAACGGCCTGCTTCCACACTGTGTGGATCCTATGAAGTTTTAGTATCATAGAAACAAATTCTCAATTTCCATCTCTAACCAATTCATCGAACAAAGAAAAGCTATGAGATACAACCCTTGTTTTAATGAGTTAGTCATCACTACAATATTAGGAAATGAAGCATTGCCCACCTTTTAATTACTTAACCCAAATGTAATATTTTATGAATGTTTGACATTCTTACGAAACACTCATCAGGAGGTCAAATGAAATCAAAACATTTGGAAGTAATTCTCATTTCTAAATATTTTAAAAAGTATGTTTGGTGTTAATTTCTTCAATTAACAAAAAAATCCGCACTTGCAACAAAAAAACCTCACACAAGATGCTGTACTCTAAATAATTTCCTGTATGCCTCAGAATCCTGGACATGTAAAGTTTTATGATAGAAAATGAGGCCTTTGAAATGTGGATGCTGAGATGAATGTAAAAATTCCATATACAGACTTTAAGAGGATTGATAACAAAAACCTCTAAACAAAGTGACATCCAGTATTTCACATATTTGCTCAGAGCTGAAAAGCCATATAAAGATCTCTTCCAGAAGACAAAGTGGAGGGCAGCAGAATGTAGGGTTGACCTAAACATCGGTGGATGATGGATGTCACAGAGTGGTTGCAGATGACCTACAGTAGATGTGCGAGAATGGCATAAGACAGACAAGCATTCCATGTCAGATTCCTGGCAAGTGTAGCTACAAGCAATGGCAGAAGTTGATATACACATCAGTAAACATTTTCAACAATTATACCTTTTATCGAGAATACATTAATGGTAAATGTTTAAAAGATAATGTAAGTGTTTAGGAATATTTTATAATATTTTGTTTACATAACTATATAGCTGGAGGATAATTTATTGTTTAACATAATTTTCTCATAAACTAAGCTGAAAAATATCTTATTGGCAGCAATTTGTAGAAATAACATAGAATAGCAGTGTATTGTCACATGTACTTCTATATGATAAACACAGTGACAAGTTTTATAAGTCACCCCACAATCTAAAGCAAAATGTGGGCAAATGGCCAAAATGTCTACCTGAGACAGTAGAGGAGTCAGAGACAGAACATTTCTCTGAAGCAGTTGGAAATCCAGATAGCTGGGATGTCCCCAGTCTCTGACCCTGGACAAAGAGCAAGATATTACATTGATTTTTTTTCACAATGGAACTGTGGCAGAAAAACTGAACTGCAGCTACAAATGAGGTTTAGGAAAGTTAAAAATATATCAAAGCAGTCTGTTTAGTTTTTATTATTTAGTATAACACATTTTGCATCTTCCGATTAGATTCTACTATATGCCAGAGTTAAATTTAAATTCAAGAAGATTGATTCATAAACTCAACAAAACCAAACACTTCAATATTTTCATGGGGAATATCTATCATGTATTTATGGAGTGTTGAGTACTTTTTTCAAAAAAGAAACAAAAAAAAAGGAAAAACAAAAACTTTCTAACAAATTAACAAAAAAACGTAATTCACTTTTTAAACCATTTTAAAGATGACTTTAAACTAAGGACCACCTGACCTCTCCAGTGGTCAAAGAAATTTCATGATATTTTTTCAAGAGCAAAGGAGGTCTCCCATATTCTGCCTGCATCAGATCGCGAATATCCCTAAAATGGCAGTTATCTGATAATTGATCTACCCATTTATAGGACCTTTTTCGCACAAATGCCTGCTACATTACAACTGAAAATACAGGTATTTCTGCTATAATGTATGTTTCATTAGCGCGAATTGGCTATTGATGCGATTGATGAATAGTTGACACTGTTTGGATAACACAAACTTTCTATTGTACAGTATAGCGATTTCCCTATAATGTAATTTTCTAAAGTTTGAGGTCACACAAGCATGCAACTACTGTGTTATAGGAGAACTATCTGCACACTCTCAAAATATCTCATTGGCTGGGAAGAGGAAGCCACCTCCAAGCCACAAGCTAAATCAGACCAGTAACACTATCAGGAGCAATGTCCAAAGCTGGAACCCCATCAAGATGACTCAAAGCAGTCAAAGAACAAGCTGAGTGGGGCCATTTCGTTTGGGACAGTCAAGACAGGCAGGAATGGGGTAAAGGGGTGTTGAGTTACTGTTCAGTGAGAGCATGGGATCAGGTTACCATGAGGCGTGGTTACAAGAGATGCATCTGAGCACACAGAATCCCCAGTGTGGACACACCCTCTGCCAGCCAAACAGCAAAGTCCCATGTGTTCCTCTGTGGTGGGAAAGGATCCTTAAGAGCGAGTCATTCAAGTGAAACCACTGGCCTCTGAGCAGGAGGACTGGCTTCTCCCTTTTCCTACCATTAGTAGAACGCCATGGCTTGGGAATTTGACCATCATTCCCCTGCCATTTCACAGGTCCTCCATATCTCCCATTACATCTATTGACGGCAGCTAAAATCTATCCCCTTGAATGCAAATTTTCTTTCCTTGCATTTTTAAATGCATTAATATAACCAACTTTCTGATATAACACATTCCCATCATGCTTTTCAAAGAAATGTTAATTTAGTGCCTGAAGAAAAGGAAACTACGTATGAAGTTGATTAAAATGTTGGTGTTTGTGGATACACAGGGATTCTGATAAATTATGGATACAATGAGACTGGCATCAGCTGCCCTTAGGTTTTGGAGTAGATTTGTAGCTCGGGTTGTGGGTGTTGAGGTTGGTTGGCTCGCCGAGGTGGTTTGTTGTTCCGCAGACATTTCATTACCCTGCTGGGTAACATCCTCAGTGCAGCCTCCGATGAAGTGCCAGTGTGTTTTCCCGCCTGGTTTTTAAACTCTGTAGTCCGTTGAGCTGGATTGCCTCACTCCGGTTTTCCTTCGTAGTGGAGTGTATATGGGGTCGAATTCTATGTGTTTATTGATGGCAAGCTAAGCAGAGACAGGCACAGGAATTCCTAGAAGCCTGGTACTCCACGAAGAAAGCCATCAATAAACACACAGAACTCAATCCCATATACACTCCACTACGAAAGAAAAACGGAACTGAGGCAATCCAGCTCAATGGACTCCAGAGTTTAAATACCAGGTGGGAAAACACACCAGCGCTTCATTAGAGGCTGCACTGATGATGTTACCCAGTAGGGTAATGAAACATCTGCGGAACAACAAACCAGCTTGGCGCACCAACCAACCACACATCAGCTGTCCTTTTTGTAGATATTCCCATTTACAAAATGGTTATTTCATAAATGCAGTTTTGGTGAGATTGCATGAAAATAATGTCACGTTCATTCGACTAGCTCCTGGATTGACAGAACAGTCATCTTGTCTCTAGGTACTGTAAAATTGAGTAAAAATCCCCATCATCTAAAATACTAGACAAGACCCCGGATTTTTCAAAACTTTTAAAAGTAAATGGTATAGATGGGCTGAACTCTGGAAAAAATACACAAACACAGAGATGGCTGCCTGGAACCATTGTTCAACCTGGAATTCCAATTTACACCTCCACTCTAAACAGAACAATCAGCCAAACCTAACACTCTAGACTGAAACTAATTTTTACACCTTGAGCTATCCAACACACACAGTATGGAGGCTACACAGATATCGAACATTCAACTTCAATCAACATCCATTTACACATATTTTTAACTATCGGGAAACTAATTTTCAGAAGGAAACAGCAGAAACACAATGGACAACACAGATTTGAGGGGAGATAACAGAGCACTCAGTCTGAATAACTGCCAGCCCTTATCTCACCCGGGAGACAGCCTTTTTTAACAACTAGCTTCTGCAGAAACAGCTTCCCTACAGGATTCCAGCCTCATCAAGCAGCTTCAGAACCAAGAACCACAGAGGCAGAACAGAGAAGTTGAATCAGAAAGGCAAACCAAGAGCATCTTCAGAACGGCAAACCAAGAGCATCTTCAGAACAAAGGACATCCGAGAGGGGGCAAGCCAACCAAGTGTTAGCCGAACAAGCGCTTTCAGACACAGGTCTGTTCCAAACCAAGAGAACCAACAGCAAGAACTTCAGCAACTGGACGCACTTTAAAACTGTATTTTCCTCAGTGGTGAGCTGAAACTCCCAAGACCCCAAAGTTCTGACCTAGCTAGCAGGAGAGGAAGGTGGGTGGTGACAGCACATGGGACCCCAAGATTAGGAAGCCTGATTTAATTCTGTCATTAGAACTGTTGTTTTAGGTTCTAATAGGGCTTAATCTGTGTTTAATTTAATCGTATATTTAATTACTGCCCTCTGTATAATTGATTTTATAAATTTCACTGTTTATTGCATTTACCTTTTTTTCTTATACTTACCTTTTTGTACTTAAATAGATTCGGGGAGGGATTCTTTTGCCCTTAAACACTTGTCTACTGCCTTCTTGATTTCACATTCTTTAAATAAGTCCAGTATCTAGAATGAGGAATCTGGACATGATTCAAACCACCTAAAGTCAGCAAACAACTGATTGCAAACCTGAACACTACAGTACCAGCAGCAACAGCAGCTATAGGGGGTTTCATATCTGAATGACCAGCAGAGACAGTGTATAATAGGAAGGAATTCAATCTCTGGTAGCCAGCAGTGTCCAAGACTCCCATTAACACAACCTTGTTGCTAATCCCAGCATGAAGTGCACTGAAGTCTTTCTAGACCAACATTACATCCCTGCTCTTTCCAAAAGACAAGACAGACATGCATTTACATAGTGATTTTCATGACCAGATGACATCTCAAAGCACTTTGCAACCAAAGCCCTTCCTCTGAAGTGTAGTCACTGTTGGAAAAAGTAGACAAAGTCCTGAGCTGAACCCAATGACGCTCAGGACCAGCCAGGGGAGGGGCATTGGTTGAAGAGCACCGGCAATGATTGATGCACATTGCTGAGTTCTGTTGCACATTGACATGTTTGGTGTGGGCAGATTGGTACTATGCTGGAACGCAGTATTCTGCAGTTCAGTCTGTGATAACAAGAACAAAGATCCTTAGATTTTCCTTCTATGATCCCCCATCTGCAATTGGCCTGTTTAAAAGTGGTTTCTGTGGTATTAAATTTTTTACTGTAGTCTGGATGAGATGCTGTCTGAATGTGAGAATTCTGTCAAGGGTATTATGTAGATAAACGGTTTAGGATCAGTCTGATTATCCAGGGTGATGTTCAATTCCCCCATCACACTAACATTATGAAGGTGTACTGCACTAGACATAGTTTAACTGGAGTTTAGTTTTAGGCATCATGTGTTGTAGTAGCTGACCAGCTTTGCAATAGCATCATACACCTTCCACGAAGTCTGAGCCATATGCCACCGCAGATGTTATCTACAGAGGTAAATTTTACAGGACAGGTTTGGTAATGGTTGCTGTGTACTAGTTGAACTGGGTTGAAGCCAATAAAGATGCTTGGGATAGCCCATTCACCCAGTTCATCCAGCTGAGAGTCTTGTCACACACATGCATCCTGATCCATCTATCCTGTTCAACGGCATCAGTAACCCAAGCAGGGAGACCATTGATATTTTGGTGAATAGGTCAATATGCCAGACAGTCCCTGCTGGTCATTCAGATATGAAACCCCCTATAGGTCAATATGCTGCAGTGGCACCAAGGAAAATTGACCCAGTGTTGAGATTCTCTTGAAAGCCATTTTCAAAGTGGTTAATGTGAGGATCTGATCATATACTTCTTCCTTAATCAAAGGGGACTTTCTAATTGACAATGAACTGCCACTATTAACAATGAATTAATGTGACAAAATAAAAGTTTGGTTAATACAGCAAGAGAGTGTATCATGGGTCCTTTTTCAGGTGAATTTCAAAACTAGGCATTTCTCGACTAATTCTGGACTAGTCCAAATGATTTTAAACTTAAAGCGGCTCTTAATAAGAATATGGACTGCTTTCTCATGCAACCGGAGATGCTTCGAAGTTAAACTAAGAATGTACATCATAAATAAGATTTGATTAAAGCAATTAATTTACTTGTACACTGTGTTTACAGCATAGCACCCCATACCACATCTGTTGCATCATCCGATGGCCATATTTTGGCAGACTGTTCGGAGCCTTCACTGGATACCCTGGCATTTCCGAGGACACTGTTAGATTGTTGTGATACTGGGCTTTGTAATTCAGGGAAATCACTCAGTGCAACTTCAGGTGTGGTATCAGTCTTAGACTCAGATTCATTTTGAATTTTCAGAATGGAGTTTGATTTGCTGTGGTGGCATCTGTTAGACTGCTTGACTTCTGTATAAGAATGGAAATATATAATTAATCTCAATGCTGAGAATGCAGAAACCAGTCAATAAACATAGGAGGGGTAGTAGGAACTGCAGATGCTGGAGAATCTGAGATAACAAG